TCAAAGATGAAATAGTTCTGTGGCTAGGTGAACAAGAAACCTAACTTTAGTCAATTTACTAGTAATAATTCCAACATTCCCAGGATTAGATTTAAAGGTGGTTCAATAAAGCAAGATTCAGTAGAATGTCAACATTGGGAAGATTAAAAATGAAATTTGGGATCGGTAAGCAATTCCTAGATCTGTTACCCCTATGCTAATTTGAGTGGCTATGCACACCAATCATGTAGTAGTAAATTAAGGCAAAATGAGGGACAACCATTTGGAGTAGCACATATTTGGAAAAAAATAGTACTTGAATTATTACAATGAGAAAAACAATCCATAGACTATGACCTATGACGTTATGGTCTACCTTCAATAATCAAAAGTTATTCATCAATTTGAAAACAGAGCCAGCCACACTGCTTCTTCTGAGGAATATAATTCACAAAGGGAAAAAAGATCTCTACACAAACTTTAGAAAGTCTACTAGAAGAAGAGCTATAACTATTTTTAGAGGCAGACAGTGAATGCAGAAGTACTCTATTCTTTAATTCAAGACTTGAGTCAAGTTTAGCAGTGGAAGAAGAAAAAGAATATAGCAGGTTCAAGTTGCTACCAACACTATCCACCTATCACACTAGACTGTCAAGTTTTAAAAAAAAAGCTTTATCCTTATTTGCCATTCTTACATCTTCTTTGATGAAATATCTGCTCAAACCTTTGCCCCTTTCTTTACTGAGTTATTGTCTTATTATATAATAGTTTTGAGTTTATTCTGGATACAAATCCTTTATCTGCAATATGTTTTGCAAATGTTTTCTTCCAGTCTATGGATTATCTTTTCATTCTCTTAAAAGTGTCCTTTGGAGAGTCCCGGAGTCCGAGGAAGAAAAAGCTAGTGTTCCTCAAGACGGCCTGATAGGGAGTCACACCTCCCTCCTCCCCAGCTGCCTGTGACTGCCTTGTGCTTCACGTGCAGGAGCTGCTGAAATGTCAGGAATGGAAGCCAGTGTGACTTACTATCCCAATCTGACAAAACAAGCCACATCGTGCTGCTTGAAGTATAGTGAGAAGAATCCAGACCAACCTACCCCTGAGGCCATGTCTCCAGGCATCTTTTGAGACCTTGCCCAACATCTCTGACCTGAGTTTGAGAGATGCACCTCCAGTCCCTGCCCTGGCTGACACTGGGTGGATTGCTGTGGACGGGGAGGAGACACATGCTGGGCCAGGAGTGATACACGCCCCTGCAGCCCAGCCCTTGGTTGTCATGCAGCACAATGTCTCAGTCCCCAACCTGTGAGTCCCAGGAGAGGCTCCTGGCCCTGAAGAGGCCTGCCCTGCCAGCCCTAAGCTGCACCACTGAGCTGCAGGATGACCTCAGCCACCTGTGCAGCCAGAGTGCCAAGACAGTGGCAGCTGATGCAGCTTCAGCTTCACTGATGCCACATTTCTTATCTGCAGGAAGCTCAAATGTCTCTTCTTCTCTACCTTGTTTTGGATCTTCATCTTCATTCCACTCTACCACTTCCTTTGTCATTAGTGACATCACTGAAGAGACAAAGGTAGAGGTCCCTGAGCTTCCATCGGTCAGTCCCCTGCTTTGTTCTGCCAGGCCTGAGTGTTAACAACCCAGAACACACAGCTTCCTGCAGCTCACCTGAAGAGGACGATGTTGTCTCTCCGTCCAAGGCCAGCAGCTGTGCAGACATGATTGGTGTCCTGAAGGACTTTCACTGGATGAAAGACCAAGATCTGAACTGGAGTTTACTGAAGGAGGAGGACCAC